GAGAGCAGCACAAATACAATTCGGTCGACAAACAGCGTCATTTAAAAAAAAAAAACACATTGCTAAATACTGTATATATAAATGATTTAAATTCAGGTTTGAGTAACAACATTTGCAAATTTGCCGATGATACAAAAATCGGTAGGGAAATAACACAGAAGAAGACTCACTATCTCTTCATGTTGATCTAACTAGAGTTTTGAAATGGGCAAAAGGTTGACAGATGCAGTTCAATGCTGATAAATGTAATGTTTTGAGGTTAGGTAATGATATGATAGAGTTACAAGATACGAGATAGATGGTGTTGTGATTGCGAAGTCTGGTATTTCGAAAGGGAACTTGGAGTTATGATTAGTAAGAATTTAAAACCAAAAGATCAATGCATGAATGTTCGTAATAAGGCAAATAGTACACTAGGATTTATTAATCGAAGGGTTAATAACAAGACACCTGGTTTTGTTCTTTAGCTATATCTTGCTCTTTAAAGCTATTCATTCCCGTGCCGTCTCTTGGGTGGCTTAATTCTTATCAATCAATCAATTTGTTGCTCTGGTCAGGCTCCATTTTGATTATGCAGTTCACTTTTGGTCGTTGTACTATAGAATTTATATAAATTCACTTGAACTTATCCAGCATAGAATGACAAAGTTAATTCCTCAATTGCATTCACTGAAACGGCGAAGAGTTAGGTGTGACATGATAGAGGTTTACAAGTTGATGAATGGACATAACAAATGGGATATTAAAAGTATCAGCACCAGACGAAATAATGGGTATAAATTGCATAAGTTTACATTTAGGAAAGACCTGGGAAAATACTGGTTCGGTATCGAAACTTCGTCGTCCCTTCGCCTTCTAGTGTGTGGTCTGGTCATACAGTTTCTAAGTTAAGCAATAGGCAGAATCAGATTGTAGAATGTGTAGTTTAGTAGTAGAGTAGTTTACCACATCACATTGTTTGGATGTGTGATAATTGTATGATAGACAGTATGTTAAATGTGCTTTTTGTACTGTGATTTGTGTATTTGTACCCTATAATATATATAATATAATATATTTGTGTCACAAGTGATACAAAGAGGTGTCACAAGTGACATTACAAGAGGCTCACAACAGTCACTATACAAGGCACTTTACATCTATAGTGAGTCACGCAGTATAATGTTAGTGGTATGTCCGCGCGGCGTTTTTGTCACTTAAGCGTCAAAACAAAAATGTGTATACTCTTTTTACTCTCCTGACCTCAGTTCTCGAGCTACGTATTTCATTTTGGTACCAACGTGTTTGCAATAAAATTCTCTAGAAGAACATCAGTAAAAAAAGTCACGAAAGGTATAGGGATACCAGCAGCAAATAAATAACTACGTAGATGACTCGCCATGAGCACCCAACAGCAACAAAATGTTTTTACTCTTGGGATTGTTATCACTTGTCCTACAGCGTTAATTTTGGTATCAATGGACTCGCAATGAAATTCCCAACACGGGGATATGAGTATAAACGTAGAATAATGGTCGCGGCCCACCCGCAAGAGTGTTGGAAGTGGCGGCACGAACCTGATGTGGCACGTTTGGCTAAGTCATCCGCCACCTCGTTGAGCACTATTCCAACATGAGATAGAATCCACATGAATTTCACACTATAACCTTTCAGCAATATCTCAGTTATTCTTCTCTTACAGTCCTCAACTATAGACATGAAGACTGGGTTTCGACTGTTTAAGGACGCCAGTGCTCCTCGGCTATTGACAAATACAAAAACATTTTTGTCGTCATGACGTACTTCCTCCAAACACGCCAGAATGGCCTGCAGTTCAGCTTGTGTGGATGATATATAATTACTAAGCCGGAGTTCAATTATCCTGTCCACAGTCCCAAACTCCGTATATTCCCTTATTAGCACACCACACCCTGCCCTGCCATCCTCAGCCACCGACCCGTCACAATATACATGTAAACTGTTGCCTCTTGGTAACCGAGATATCATGCTTCCATACAAACACCGTAATTGTCCCGGTTCATGATGAATCTTTTTCACCTTGAGGGGTACAATTTCGACGTCTATTTTCTGTACTTTCCTGGGAGCAGACATATTACACTGTCGAGAGGGTTTACAGCAGTCAAGTACGTCGTATTCCCTGAGGTCATGAGCTAATCCCCTCGTGTAGCGTGTCTCCCTCAGTTTCCTGGAAGTGTGTACGTCACTCAAGCAGGTCTAAACGCTCTGAAACAGCTTATCCCTTCCTTTTCTCCGCATGAAACGAATAGATACTCTAGTGTTAATGTCACGGATTCTATCACACACACACTGTAAATTTAATTCCATTCTCATTATTTCAATCATTGCATTTCTTTGACATCCAAGAATAATCCTCATAGCCTCGTTCTGTATCAGCTCTATTTTTTTAATTCTGCCTTGGCCTGTGTAAGACAATACGGGTGCTGCGTAGTCTATCAGGGACCGAACAGTACTTATGTATAACATCCGCAAGATAGGTACCCCAACACCTTTACCAGAAAAAGCCAGTGCTTTCAGAGGATGCAGACGGGCTTTACATAAGGTGCTGATATGATTTATTTCAGCATTTTTACTCTCACATGTGTATCCAACATACATGCCCAGATACTTGTACTTCTGAACACGGCTCAGTTCCACACCATTTAGAGTAAGTGTTATATTTCTTCGTTTCCTATACTCGTATTTGGTTTTATCTGCATTTATAACTAAGCCTAACTTGTGACAGGTTGTACCAAGTATGTTAAGAGCAGTTTGAATTTTGTTCCCAGAAGTGCCTTGTATAAGAATGTCATCAGCATATATGATCGTCGTGACCCCTGGAGGATACATCTCTGATGCTAATCTGTTCATTAATACATTGAATAAGGTGGGACTTAATACTCCCCCTTGTGGGGTACCTAACTGAAACCTCCGTTCCTCAGACATGTATCCCTGGTAATACACCTGACCTTTTCTGCCTTGTAGATAATCCCTTATCCAGTGTAGCAATCTCCCTGTTATTCCCAGATTGGCTAATTCGTATAAGATTACTTCCCCATTGGCTTTATCAAATGCTCCTTGTAGATCAACAAAAACTCGACAATTGTCATCCACATTAGACAAACACTTTAAGAGACAATCCGCAGTACTTTTGCCTTTGATAAAACCAGAGAGATTACTGGACATGTTATCACCTACAAGGTAGAGTAGCCTATTTAACAAAATCTTTTCCATCATTTTACAAAAGCATACATTATGTTTGTTTTATGTTTTCTTTGTTTACATTACTGTTTATTTTATGTTTTCTTTGTTTACATTATGTTTGTTAACATTATGTTTGTAAATCAACTATGTATGTACTTTCCTGAATAAAACTGACTTTACTGTATACTTATATACTATGTGGTTCTTTTTTATCCCTCTCGTTTGTGAGAAAAAAATGACTAATACGTTCGGCCAATAACTTTGACTTCGATTTGACTTTGACATGTCATCGTATTTTCCGTAATATATAAAGGTTATGACAATGCAATTATATTATTGTGTGCAAATAAGTTTGAAATTTCATGTACCCTAAAAATAGTAAAATAAAGAATAAAAATAATTAAATAATTGTTGTAGTAAATTGTCACACGTTCATCATACGCAAACGAACACACAGTTTGGAGCGTCAGTAGAACAAGGTCCGCGCCATTTTAAAACACGGCTTCGAATGTAAGTAAAGTTTTTCTCGTACTAACACTGTGTTATACAATAGATTAGGTCTTGAAATCACAAATTTAGTTGTTACATCTGACAGAGTATGTTAGACGGTGTAATGCTGGTCCATGTTGACGTATTTCTGGGCTTGGTTGGTTTAAATGTGATGGCACCCCAATATGGGCACCCCAGAACTGCTGCATATTCTAGCTTTGGACTAACAAAAGTGGTGAACAATTTCTTTAGTATTTCGCCATCCATGTATTTAAAAGCAATTCTGAAGTTGGAATGCATGGCATAGGCTCCTCACACAATGTTCTTTATGTGGTCCTCAGGTGATAGTTTTCTATTTAGAACCACCCCTAGATCTCTTTCTTTATCAGAATTCCTTAAAGATTTCTCACATGGTGGTGGTTGTTATATGTAATGGTGGAGGTTGTAATGTGTGGTGGTGGTAGATGTAGTGTGTGGTGGGCTTCTTATATGTGCTATCAATCTGCTGTGTGGTGCCTATTATTTTTGTTTAAATTACCAGTTGATGCCGGCACGGCAGTCGATGCCAACACAGCAGTCGATGCCGGCACGGCAGTCGATGCCGGCACAGCAGTCGATGCACCAATATGTCTTCATTCTTCCCAGATGAAGGAACTAGGTAATGTTCATCATCTGAATGCACCATCTGAAGCTTTTCCACACTTGATATTGATTCCACACTTAAATACCATTGCAAGTATTTCACAGCACACCAGGCTAAAAACAAACTCCAAAATAGCACCTGTCTATCAGTTTACAATCAAAATATCCTCAAAAGAGCAAGAGTAACGCTCCCTGTTACTTAGCAGTAAAATAGGTACCTGGGTGTAAGTCAGTTATTACAGGATGCTTCCTGGGGGTGGAGGCCTGGTCGAGGACCAGGCCGCAGGCACACTAAAAAAAAAAATAATGAATTATTATTCAATAACTGTTAGTGCCACAGGGCAGCATCTTGGGACCTCTCCTATTTCTTATATACATCAATGATCTGCCTATTGTCTCTAACATTTGTTTCAAACTGCAGGTACTGCAGGCAACTACTACAACACTACTGAACCAGTACAAACTGCAGGTACTGCAGGCAACTACTACAACACTACTGAACCGGTACAAACTGCAGGTACTGCAGGCAACTACTACAACACTACTGAACCGGTACAAACTGCAGGTACTGCAGGCAACTACTACAACACTACTGAACCGGTACAAACTGCAGGTACTGCAGGCAACTACTACAACACTACTGAACCGGTACAAACTGCAGGTACTGCAGGCAACTACTACAACACTACTGAACCGGTACAAACTGCAGGTACTGCAGGCAACTACTACAACACTACTGAACCGGTACAAACTGCAGGTACTGCAGGCAACTACTACAACACTACTGAACCGGATCATTCACGTAGTAACAAAGGAAAAAATCTACAGAAAGGTTATGTGAAAAAATAACATGCAGCATTTTTTTTTTTTATTTCTATGGTACTATACTTTGCTCAGTTGTTAATTTTATATGAAGTTCTCACAAATTCATTAATAATAGGTGTTTTTACATTGAACTTTATTACCATCCTTATCTCTAATTTTAAAAAATGTGATATGAACCGCCAAATTCTATTATTTGTGGCTACGCCTATGGTGTCCCATCCCAGCACTGTCATATAATGCTTTGAAACTACTGATGGTTTTGGCCTCCACCACCCTCTCACCTAACTTGTTCCAACCGTGTCTACCACGCTACTTGCGAAAGTTAATTTTCTAATATTTCTGTGGCATCTTTGTTTGGTTACCTTTTACAATATCTTCTTTTTATTCTACCATCTAGTTTTGGCATTTCATGCCTCTAACCTGGGAGCCACTTATTGGCATGTCTATACCTTTTCCAGTTTGTTGATGTGATTCTTTAGATATGGGCACCATACAACCGCTGCATATTCCAGCTGTGGTCTAACAAAAGTTTTAAACAATTTCTTTAGTATTTGACCTATGTATTTAAAAGCAATTCATAAATGTAAGCAAGTGTAGCATTTGTCTCCAGGTGTTCTTCACATTTAGCTTTAATTATTTTTTCCAATATTTTCACTTACACTTGTAATACAGGGCTCGAGGTTCCCTATAGTGTCCTTTATTGAAATAGAGTTTAACAACCATTTCAATGTCCCTATTTTCTTTTAGATTATATCTCAACATATAATTAATGTCCAACAGGACATGATTACTCTTTCCAAAGGGAGGATGGTATTGAATATCAAATATCTGTTCTCCTTTTTTTGTGAATATTTGATCTAGTACTGATGGAATAATTTATATAATAATCACTAGAAATTATTTAGATAAGAATTTGAATTTATGCATGTCTTTGTTTTGGCATGCCTCTATTTCCACATGTTACATTTCTGCATGTCTCCAATTCTGGAAGTGTTTACTTTTGCATGTGCCTGACAAGGATGTTATATGCACCAGCTTTAATTATTACTCTCTTGTAACAACCCCCACACCAGCTTTTCTCAGCAGACAGTTTCCCACACATTGTATATAATGCATGACTTATTTTTAGAATTTTAATACATATTGCATCTGTCAATACATTATTAACAATAATATAGGTAATAAATAAATAAATAAATATGTTTATTCAGGTAAGGTACATACTTACATACAAGTGATGTTACATTAATGGATTGATATATAGATAGAGCTAGTACATACAATGCCTAAAGCCACTATTACGCAATGCGTTTCGGGCAAGAAGTCTATATGGTAGTATGGTAGTCTAATGGTAGTCTATATGGTACTCTATATGGTAGTCTAATGTAGAAATTTGACACTCTTTAACAGAATGTACGAGTATAAGCGAAAAAAGCGACTCCAATACAACAACAGATTGATGCAAGTATCAAGAAGGCTAAAACGTATACACAAAATGCATCCAAATACAGCTGTACACACTAGTGAACCCATTAATCTTACTGAGGCAGCATCAAGTTCAGAGATTGAGTCGTCAGACAATGACATTAGTTCTTTTGAAGCAGAGTCAAATCAAGAGTATGGATTAGGCTCTGAAATTGATGATTTACACATGAATCTTACAGATATTCATGATGTATTATCTAATTCTCAAAGTGAGGAGGAGAATGATGACCATGATAATCATCATTCACTTGTTTACCCACAGAATTTATTAATTCAGTGGGTAAACAAGAATGGTGTTACACACAATGCTGTTGATGAATTATTAAAAATTTTGAGGCAAATGGGAATTGACTACTTGCCAAAAACAGCTCGGACACTAATCAGTTCTGAAAGGTACATAGAAACTCAGCAAAAATCTGGAATGAAATATGTCTACTTTGGGTTAAAAGAGGAACTGTTAAAAAACATAAGTAGATATTCAAAAGCAACTATAAAAGGACTGAGACAATTATTATTGTCATGTAACATTGATGGCCTTCCTATATTTAGAAGCAAAAATGATGCTTTGTGGCCAGTTCTCTGTGCAGTAATGAATATTAAACCTTTGAAAGTCTTTCCAGTTGTCCACATGTATGGACGTTCTAAGCCAAGTGATTTAAATTTCTTATATGATTTTCTATCTGATATGGATGACCTTTTGTTGCATGGGATTCAGTATGGTAACAGAATTATCAACATAAAGTTACAATGTGTAATTTGTGATGCACCTGCTAAGGCTATGGTGAAGTCCATAAAACTGTTTTCAGGTTATTATGGCTGTGACAAATGTGAACAGAAAGGTACTTGGATGGGGAAAATGACATATCCAGAAGTAACAAATTTAACCATTAGAACAGACACACGCTTCCGTAATCAATCTAACTCGCAACATCATCATGGTAAATCACCATTCTGTGACTTGAACATAGACTTAATTGCAGCGTTTCCCATTGACTATATGTACCAGGTGTGCCTTGGTGTTATGAAGCGACTTCTTGTCACCTGGATACGGAAAAACACATTTAAATTATGTAGCCGCCAGATTTCTGAAATTAGTGCTAGATTGGTGAGCATAAAAGATTTTGTGCCCAATATTTTTGCACGTAAACCACGAGGTTTGGAAGAAATTGACAGATGGAAGGCAACTGAATACAGAGAGTTTCTTCTCTACACAGGCAAGCTTGTATTGAAAGGTATTCTACCCCCAAGAGATGTATGATTATTTCCTTACTCTCAGTGTTGGTGTAAGTTTTCTGGTTTCGCTCACATGTACGTCCTTAAAATACGGCAAATATGCTCATGACCTTTTGCTGAATTTTGTATCAAGGTGTGGTGATCTGCATGGGAAAGATTTTCTAGTCTACAATGTTCACAGTTTGATTCACCTAACAGCAGATGCTGAGGAACATGGTACTCTTGACAGTTGTTCAGCTTTTCCATTTGAAAATTATTTGCATCAGCTGAAAAAAATGGTCAGATCAAGTAAAAATCCAATTGTCCAAATTACAAAAAGAGTAAAGGAGGCTGAAAATACCATGATTTATAAAACATCTCCAGATAATAAAATTTCTCATAAATTTCCTAACCATGTATATTCGTTACCTGGATATAATTGTTAAGGACTGTACACAGCCGAAGAAGTGAAGAAAATTACTTCATTGTTAGGGTATATCCTTTTCAAAGCCCAATATTTACTAGTCCTTGTGATTCAAGAATATTTGGGGCCTTCAATGTTAATCCACGTAAGGACTTTTTAAAAAAAGTGTATAGGATTAACACATCAACAAGAGGAATGTTTATCAAGAAAACAGAAAGTACTTATATCTTCTTGTCAATACTACATGATTTATGACTAGTAAGTTTCTTGTGATTATGTTTTTGATTCTTGTGCAAGCTGTAGGAATACTCTTTGCTTACATTGCAAACTTTTAACTTTAGTAAAAAGTATTGTTCACCATCATAACATATTAGAATTAAGGTTAACATTGTTGTTTAGTACTACTATATAAAATTAGTGACTGCTTATTTTCTTAGACACTGATAATGTGCTGCAGAAAATGTCCCTAATCAGTTTAAATTTGTAGATGGCCATTGTGTGAAGCAAAATTTTTTAATGCATTCATAAAAGCTATAAGCTAATGTAATAATTCAATAATTACTATTTGTAGTTTTATGTATTTAAAACTATTTTGTAAATATTTTCTATACAATGCTAATACGCTTCCACCCCTGACAGAATCTTGTGGGACCAGCAAGTATGTCTACAGGCCCAGTAAAATACCTTCCCCTCAAACTCCAAGACAAGACAGAACTGGTAAGCTTTAAGTAACTGGAGAAACATTTACATACACAGATAGTAACATATACTTGTGGATGATTTTAATGTAATATATTTTTACCAGCCTTCAGGGTGATGGAAACAGTTAACATATATGGTGTCGCTCCATTGTGTGAAACAAAATTTTTTAATGCATTCATAAAAGCTAATTACTATTTGTAGTTTTATGTATTTAAAACTATTTGGTAAATATCGGGAATTGAGCAATATCATATTTATTATTTGGTTTTTAAATTTAATACTTATAATTTCATATCATTTCAGAGACAACGAGTGATCTGGGCTTCGAACTCAACAGGAAAGGCTTCCGTAGACCTGCTTCTTTGCTACGTAATAGAGACGAAAATTCGAATGATTATTTGGTGGCTAGCTCTCCTTTCGAATAATCAAGTAAGTACCGATTTATTATGTGTTTTTTCTTTATTTTTTGTTATACATACAAGAAAATACATTGAGGGAGAGTACAGACTTGAAATTTTACATTCTTGTAAAGCAACTAAGTAGATGATGGTAGTATCATCAAACAATACAGGTTTAATCATGTTAGAGACATAAAGCAGATCATTGATGTATATAAGAAATAGGAGGGGTCTAAGGATGCTGCCCTGTGTCACCCCTATCATAGAATGGGAGAGGTTACATAATTGAAGGCTACATGACAGTAGCCCATTTGACAGTGACCTGACACCAATGTGTCTGTCACTAAAATAGGATCCACTAAGGATCAATACATATATCATATATATGCAACACTAAATGCTTGTTCTAGTAAGCCTTTTTATTTATTTTTTTTTTGCAATAACAGAAAAAATGGAATACATAATGAAGGAATTGTCAAAATTGACATTTTTATCAGGGGATATCCTGAATATCGTCAAAATGACGGAAACCCGTATGTCAAAAACACATGGAGATATACCAATCCTGGAAGACATTCTTCCATCCCCACTTGAAACTGTTGAGCAGGTGGAAAGTCTGTCACACGAGCTAAAAGTTAACAGTGAATATAAAAAGAGTATGGTAAGTGTTGCTTAATTCTTTTAACCTGAGTATGGTAAGTGTTGCTTAATTTTTTTAGCCTGAGTATGGTAAGTGTTGCTTAATTTTTTTAGCCTTGTACATATGTCTTTTGATTAGTTTTTTTGGGGATGAAGGAAGGTGGGGTGGCACATAATTGATTGTTCAGTGTTATGTTTAAGGTACAAATACAACAAAAGCAAAAGTTACTCAAATTCGTGGATTTTTGTAATAGTTAATAAGGAAAATATTTTAATGCTATTTATTTAATACAGTCGGAAATTAGAAAATCTAATGTTGAGATTGAAAGATATATATTATTCTCTATTACCTTACAGCTTATGCATTATTTTAACAGGTCCAGACGCTGTCTCAAATGGGCGGTGCAAGCTGTGGAGACACAGTGAGACGAATGATGAGGAGGATAGGGACCTATGGGGTCTGGTCTCAGTATTCACTCGTTGGGCGCAAGAGGAAACGTGTCTTCAAAACCTTGGATATTTGTAATGTCAAAACCTTGGATATTTGTAATGTAATAATAAGTACGTAAATTTGACATTTTTTTGGATTATATGTGTGTGCATGTATTATGTATTATACTTGCGTGCTTGTTAATTACTTGTATTCTAGTCTTGTGGGTATCTCCTTTCCCCTACGGGCAAACTGCTTTGTTCTTACCTAGCATTTTGCTTTGTTTGGGTGTGAATGTTTGTGTGCCTTCATTGTATATTTTGCAAAATTTGCCATATATCTCATTATTTACTCCTCTGCCTAGCAACAAGTCTGTCTAATTATACTCATTATCTATTTTTCAAAGTTCCCCATAGTGTCCTTTATTGAAATCGAGTTCATGAACCGTTTCAATGTCCTTATTTTCTTCTAGATTATATCTTAAAGTATATTTAAATGTTATTGTTATTATTGTTGTTGTTGTTAAAGATTTGCCACTTGGAACAAGCAGTTCCAAGTGCACGGGCTATGGTGCACTTGGAACTGCTTGTTCCAAGTGGCAAATCTTTAACAACAACAATAATAATAACAATAACATTATTGTTATTAAATGTTATTGTTATTAAATGTTATTGTGACATTGCATTGCAATTGAGCTGTGTTGTTAACCATACTGTTCATTTCATGAGTATATTTTATTTTCTATTTTTTCATATCATTTTTTTTAGCTGTTCTTATTTTTCAGTGATGGGAATATCAGATCATTTGATGTTCTCATCAGAAAATTGGGAACATCAGATCATTTGATGTTCCCAATTTTCTGATGGAAGCATCAGACCATTATGGAATGCATCGGATGAGGTAGTTTAGAATGGTGGGGAGGACGAGAGGGGGGATGGTGGGGAAGACGAGGGAACAGAGGAGAGGGTAATGGTGGGGAGGACGAGGGGACTGGGGATGGTGGGGACAGGGGAATGGAGAATGCTGGGGAGGACAAAGGGACAGGTGAATGGGAGATGGTGGGGGAGGAAGAGGGGAGAGAGGAGGGGGAAATGGTAAGGACGACGATGGGACGGGAAAGTGGGAATAGTGGGGAGAATGTGGGGACAGGGAAGTGGGA